TGTCTCATTGTGTTGATGTATCTCATTGTTTTGTTGTGTCTTATTGTTTTTTTGTTGTGTCCTTTTTTATTGTTGTCTCATTGTGTTGATGTATCTCATTGTTTTGTTGTGTCTTATTGTTCTTTTTGTCGTGTCCTTTTTTATTGTTTTGTTGTCTCATTGTGTTGATGTATCTCATTGTTCTGTTGTGTCTCATTGTTTTGCTGTGTCTTATTGTTTTGTATCTTATTGTAGGTCACTGCCACCGGGTATAAACCAATTTGCAGTCAATAATAAATGATAATAATAATAATAATAATAATAAATGCGATAGCTTTAAATTGAAATTTGCAGATAATTAAATTTGTGAACATAAAAAAGTCCCCAAAATTGCTAGACTTCACCCTAAGTCCAAGAATGTTATGATCATTTTTGGTCATCTGAATAATATTCCTTACATAAGAAACAAAGTGCTTTTATTCAGCTTATTCTTCAGAAACACTTACATGCTGCATTCATGTTTCAATTAACTGCTACTGCAGCCCTTGATTAGCTAAATCTGATTGACTAATCTATATATTAATAAAACCAAATGTTTATGGTAATGGTTGGTTGATTAATACAGCTGTACATGTAGACTAAGTAATATTCCTGACATTCAGACATCAGCTCTACTTCTGCCTCATTTTTATAAATGTGCAGTAGCTGATTATCACTGGTTAAAACCAGCAGTGTTCGCTTGTTCTCGGCAAACCGCAGGACACAGTCAAATACTGAAGGTCTTCAGCACAAGTAACCATTTTACTGCGATTCCTTATTCATCACAATGACTGAATTGAATTAGGTCAGAAGGCACTCTATTTAATCTCAATAAATCCTTGCCTTTGCGGTCATCTGTTAATTGGAAAAATTTTAGGTTCTTGAGGTTTTCAATCAAAAAAAGAATATACACGTTTTTATGCAAATAAGAATGCATACTTTAATTGTGTATTCAATTATCTATCCTATATGCAAAAAATACAATGGTTTCATATCAACAGGAATTGCCCCTTGTGGCTCGTCTTCCACTGGGACTTGTCGAAGGTCGGGAGATTGAAGTAACTGGTCGCACAGAGCCATTTTCCCAAAATTAAGCATCTCTCTGTTTTGAGCATTCATGAACATGACTGCAAAAGATAATAAAGTGTATTAAGATAGGATTTGAGGTTTTCATGGCAGTGAGTCCAAAGATGGCCATCTTCTGGTTTGTAGCATCGTGTAATCTGGTAGTAGTTTATCAGTGTTTCAGAGGTCCTGACTGCCTTTCTGTTTAGGGTGCGATGATGGGGTGCTACAGCCCAGAAGACAGCCATATTTAGATTAAGATGTGTACCTCTTTGCAGTGTAATAACTGGTTTTACAGCTAGGGTCATAACTTACACACGTTGTGCCTTCCAACTCAGAATAAAGAAGAGCGGGGCCAGTGTGTTTGAGACAGGTTTTGAAAATTAATTAATATTTTATTTATAGTTTATTTAATTATGCTGTAGTAGAGCAGAGAACCAAGAGAGTATTAAATGACAGAATGATAAATGAATAATATATTTAAAAGTATGCGAGAGGAAATAGTTGTGGTCTAATATAAGACAATGTCACAACCTTGTGTGGCTGAGGAAAAGAATGAAAAGCCTGAGTCAGGATAATGTGTCTCTGGGATGAAATATGAAAAGAGAAAGTTCTGAATTCAAAACACAATGTTAATCCCTGCACCATGATAGTGTTCATTTCACAGATTGACAGAAATATTATGAAATCAATAATAATTTAATATCTTTTATACATGTTGTTAATAAAGCTTCATATTATGTTGATTTATATTGTATTGCAATATACTGAAAAAGGTTATGTCTCCTGGTCTCTTATAAGCCTTACTGTTATCCTGTGTGACATGAAGTTGACAGATTAGCTTAATAAAACACAGAAAGGAAATACTGACTACATGAGATAAAGACAAATTATCACTTACTGGAGACATACAAACTCTGTTGGAAGTAACAAACAAAAAGTTTTGTGTTTGTGGATAAATGAAGCAGTTCCATTATATCCTTCCATATAATAATAAAAGAAACTTTACCCAACTCAGCTGTCCAAAATGCTTGTGAACACTTTTTTTAAGGATCTGCTGAGAAATTCGCGATGTTTAAGAGTACATAAATACTTATTTTAACCATTTCTCATGCATTAATTTTTAAAAGTTGAGATGATCCTTTGCAGTATCATAGATGAAGTTTATGTAGCTGTTATTTCAGGTTCTCACAGGGTCGACTATGAGGATGACTGTTTTCTGGGATATTGCACAATTTAGCCTGGTATAAATTTACATTTCAGAAGTGGTTATTGCGATAGTCACCTCTGAAACGTCGGTTAGTTTCTACCACATGTTGGAATGGTGCAATATCCCAGAAGACTTATTCAGCTTTGTGAAATTAAATGTCGAAGGGAAGGTGAAATGGTAGTAAACGTCTCGGAGATGTTTTCCAACAACTCAGATTTCCATACTGCCGACATCAATATTTGCCACTGTAACGCTGACGACAAACATTATCGAACTCACTACAGAGAAAACCTCAAATCCTACGTAGTTGGCGACTGGCCACTAGATGGCTCTTACAGTAGTTTTACGACGCAAGCCGACAGATAACAGCACAATGCATATAAGTTGCCAACTTTCAATATTGACTTACTGATATGTGTGTTGGTATTATCTGTGCCCCGAAGATGGTCTGATATTGGCATGGATAAAGCCTTCTGTTTATCCCTTCTGCAGGCATCGCGATGTTGTTATGTACGCAGTGTTGTAGGTGTGTCTATATGACTGGAATTATAGGCATGGAGAGATGAAATTATGAAAGCAGTGTTGCTGTGTGGTTAGAAACGAGATACCCTGCATAACAGGCATGGATAGTGAATGCCAAACAGGCATTAGCAGACTCGAATATGCAGCCAGTAGTACAGTCAATTTTGTGAATGTAATAGGAATGGGTAGAGACGACAATGCATGCAACAGAATAGTTAAAAAGGGGTCTGTAGGCAAGCATAGATAAGTCTGTACGTATGTCCCAAAACGATCTACACACACACACATTCAGTGAATGAAATAAACCATTACGTAATGTCAACACTGGCACTAAGCGAATTATCGAATCTAGTGAAGGTTTCCAAAATGACCACCATTAGCTTCGTGGCGCAGTTTACGGCGGTGAACGACTGACTGACAAGCGGCCATCGTATTGTAACGTGTATACATCTTTTTTTGGACACTCTGTGTAAGCAGTATTATAAGCAACAAAGAAGCGTCTATACAGCCAGTATTATATAGGCGCGCATATATGCGTCTCTAAAACTAGTGTTATAGGAGGTGGGAGGGGCGTATATACAGCCAGTACTTTATGGAGACATAAAGGCGTCTGTATAGTCAGCATTACAGGCAGGCATATAGGACTCTATAGGGAGTGTTACGGCGATGTTAGGTACACTCAAAACACACAGTGCACGGCAGGGTTCAGTTGTAACCTAGTGATAATGGAATATAACACACGACGAATACAACAACATGCTCATAACTTTCTGAGCTTGTAATAGTCCAGATGATAGTACTGCTACACGGGATTACGCGCTACGTTATCCTGGTCGAGGTCATCGAAACGCTAATGTGTTTCGACGACTGGAGCAGCGTCTCCGCGAGACAGGACACGTGACACCTAAAGGTACAATTTGGCTGCACGCGACAGAGACAAGCGACCGAGGCAGGCGACAGAGTTACGAGACCGAGACTGGTCGCTTCCTGTCTGCTCTCTGTACAATCGTATGAAGTACAATTACGAGCGCGAGAGCAATTGGTAGAATTAGTAGCAGAAAACCGACCACTGACCACCGACAGAAAGAACCTTCTTCACGTCTGGTTTTGAATATTGAACTCGTAGGTTTTCTTTGTTTCTTTCGCAACAAATAACACAGCAACACATCATCTTCTTCTTCGAGTAACCTTTTTAGAAGCATTTTTGTACTCATTTTTCACAGAATATGTGCACGTATGTCTCAACAAAACAAAGAAAACAAACACTTCACCGCATGTCTCGGTCGTCACCTCAAAAGTGTGTGGCGACAAGCTGCGATGTGTCTGTCTCCCGTCTCTGTCGCCTGCCTCGGTCGCTTGTCTCTGTCGCGTGCAGCCAAATTGTACCTTAAAACGCATGAATCCAGGTCGCCGACGGACTGCACGGACACCACACAATACAGATGCTATAATTGCAGCAGTGGAACGAGTACAACCTGTGTGAATGTCTACACCACAGAACTGTGGAGAGTCGAGCGGATAAAATTGAGGTTGGATTGATCAGATTCAGTATCGATTGGTAGATCATTATCCTGGCATGAAGGATCATTTCTGTTTATCGCCCATCTTTCTGTCTGACTTGGTCATGGGTGTTCTGGTGAGTAATATCCATACATTTGTTCACATTATAAATCAGATTACTGGGAAATTTAAAAAATTACTGTCTGGCCACGTAAAAAAAGTATAATTCTAGATTTTAAACGTAATAAACGGTTTAAATCATTATGATTTGTATTGACCTTGGCAACAACGCCAGTCTTCTACAAGCTCTTCACTTTCATTTCACTGAGAGACCTAGTGGCACGCGTTGAAAGTGGTTAATATTAATTCACGACTATCTTCAGATTAGGCAGAGTTATTGGTACTTTTTCTAAACGGATATCTCTTAAGTATAATTATAAATAACCGAAATCAGGGCAAAGCCGCATAGGAAGAACACAGGAAAATAAAGGGTGATGGATTTAGGACGCTGAATGAACGCGTACACCCCCTTCGGTTTCAGACTTAGACAATTTTCCTCACGGATTGGGCGTGGAAAGGAAGAATGGTCTTCGACGTTTTGGAAATGCACTGAGAATCAATTAGGCAAAACGCAACGTCCGAGACTTTAGAAATTCAATTCGAGCGTCACAGTTTCGAATCTAAGCACGCTCGTGCAGTAGCAATGATCTCCACTTTACTCTTTTGCTACGCTGCAAAGAGAGACGGCAGTAAATGGATTGTAGATTTTCATAATTAGATAATTATTAATGCCTAGCTTTATTTTAAATCTAATATTTTCTCTGCTCACATCCAGTGTTCGTAAATGACAGTCGTATTCCATAAAAATGTTCCATAAGTAATTGGATGTTTTGGTCGCTAGAAACTGATTTGGGTACTGTGAAATAATTACATATAATCTACATATAAAATATGAATAAGTATCTTTAAGTTTTAATGATTAAACAATATGTATAAATATATTTTAATTTATTTAAAATAATCAATATATTTAAAGTAAATGATAATGATGGATAATTATGAACATCAAATAAAACATTTTTTGGTTGGGGTCGATTTGTAAGAAGGTGTCGCGGCCAATCAGTGCCATAAACCATCTACCCCCCCCCCCAAATTGTCTTCTGGTTTTTATTGTCGTGTAGTCCGGTAGACGTTTAACAACGTTTCGGAGGCCCTTGCTGCTTCCATCTTCAGGGCTATCCCACTAAATGATTGTTTGGGGAATATTGATTTAAGATATTTAAGCTACTTGGAAGGAAAATCAAAGGGCTAAAGACGATTTAAAATTTAAAATATTGTTTGTATTTTATTGAACGACGCTGGTAGTAGCTTAGACTATGTAACATCGGATTATAGGTTGATTAATGACTAATAAATGGAAAGGATACACAAGGAAGCTGTCGCCGTCTAATTTAAGGTTGGCCACCAGCTCAAAATTTTTAATGTGTGTTTCAGTTCTTACAATAAGTAGGCCAATACGTTTGTTGTGACACATTATTTATTGTAGACTGTATCCTGTTTTATCAAAGTTTCTGTTTCTTACATTAGTTCCCAAAGCTGCCTAATGGTACCAGCACTTATAAAATAGAGCATTTTACAATATAGCATCATTACCGATTATGCTTTTGGCCTCTGGGAGCACATTAACGGCAAAATATTCCTAAACTGTATGCTATTAGGCGTACACACCAAACTTCTTGGACTTTAATCCGAAGCTCATCTAAATAACTTTTGAAAATTCGGTCCGTACCGCAAAGTAAACAACTCATCACCATTACAAAGATCAACTGGTTAATGTTGATAATGGAATAATCGCTGTTTACACTGAGAATCATAAGAACCACATGAATGAAATATGTGGGTAAAACAAAGTTATTGAACGTTAAAGCAGGTGGTACATATAATTACCATTCAGCCTGAAGTGTTGAATAACGGGCCGTACAGAGCAGACACGTTTGATGTGTACCTAAAGACGGCGACACAGCTTTAGAGTGGTATGTAATGTATGTCACTCGGAATGTTTGGAAAGCAAATAAAATATGACGATAATGCATCCTTAATTTCTCAATATTTTCATTGTTTACTATAATAGATACACATCTATTATCATACATTCACTATTGTTCACTGCATCCAGTTTTGATACACTGAACATGCAATTACATTTTAATTCAGTTCATTTTTGGATATTTCCATCTGAAACTTTAAGTTATTTTTCATGTTCACAAAATTCTTGACAACATCAAAATGCAATTTAAGACATTTGCCAGTTTCTCGAATATCGTCCATACTGTCCACAAAACTTTGAGTCACATGGCATATCGATATACTTCCCATATCGTCTTTGTTATCGAAAATCATCTTGTATCGATATTTTGCTGAATTTTCCCTTGGGCCTATATATTGCAGTACTCCATAGAGAGTACCGTTCTTTACTGAGAAATATCGATAGAATATTTCACCGTAAGCGAATATGATGTAGCAGTACCTTCGAGCAGGCTTGATGTCTACCAAGCCAGTCATAAATTTTCCCTTGTATTCGTATGTCCATTCTTTGTGCGAATTTGTGAGATGCTTCTTCAAGTCTTGCAGATTTCCACCCCAAGAACAGTTGACTGCAGGCACCTTGAAAATGTCAAAATAATAAGAGCACCTCAGTTGTAGAAAAACATGAGTGTGTGAACTGAAATATCCTCTTGATTGCCCTCACCCCAAAAAAGTTTGTGTCCATTACATAAAAGGGCGGATTTATAACTTGTGTTGGGCAAGGCCGTGGCCTAGGCAACACGGAGTTTTCCTCATTGGCATCCCAACAATTACTCCATTCACACACAGAAGAAGGCAATGGCAAACCACTTCTGGATCATCTGCCAAGAACGTATATGAACAGGTCCCAGTCCGAGAAAAGGATGGAAGGATCCTGTTCATATGGACCTGTCGTCAGACAGAACACTAAATAATAATAATAAATGCACAGAAGGAAATTAGGAATGACTGGAATTATGACGCCGGCTGTACGATTACATCAACCATGGTTTCAGAATTGGAAGTGTCTAATCGTTTTATATTTGTTGTCCAATATTCACCTTGTCGTGCTAGATAATTGTCTAATAGCACTACGTCATGATTTGGTTTTAAATCAATATTGGGAGCGTCCTCATTTTCATCACAAAGTGACATTTCTGCATAGGATTCTACCTGGAAAACGGATTGGACGTGGTGAATGAACGGATTGGTGAAAAGGTTGCCAGAATTTACATCGTTTTACCATTTTTCTTTGCAGGTCAAGAATCGATTGTAAGTGCCACCAATACTTGCCACTTTGTGTGAACTCAGAACCACTTTAGTTTGTACCAACATCGAAATGCTACGGCATGTGCGGATGGAACTGGTGCTCGATTGGTCAATGGTACGTATATCGACCACCTGAATGTAGAAAAGAAACCTTGGCAATTATAGATTAATGTCTGAACTTTCCGATGTGCCCCACGCGTATTGCTACATATTTCCGGAAAGATAAGAGATCATTCGTGTTCATTCTATATTCACAAGTTTTTCCTGTATACCACTTTATTTAACATTAAATAACACTTTATTTTACCCACAAAGAGTAATTACAGAAATTTGTATCCTTAAGCAGAACATCCATCGAACAGAGAAACGTTGTGTACCTTTGAGGAACGAATTGGATTTTTAAATAATATTTACTTAGTGGAAAACTTTATAATCTAATTTAATGATTAAGCCTCGTCCATACTAGTCAGGCTGCTTGAATGCAAGTCGCTTGGGGGAAAAGAAAACTTTGAGGACTTGAATAATGTGTTTCGATTACGTTCCAAGTCTGCTGAAAAGGCAGTTTCAAGTTTAAGATAAAATAGAAAAGAGTTCAACGTTTACTTAAATTCACTTAAATAGCAACTTGAAGAATTTGAATTACATTCCCAGTTTATTGTAACGTGGTTACTTTTCTCTGGTTTTACTGAAAAGTTTTTTTTTTTAACAAAATGTTTTGTTGTGAAGGTTTACAAAACAGATGATTAGTGGAGTTATAGCGACTTTTGCACGTATTTGAAGTTTGATATTTAAAATACTTAAATGAGTGTGTAATTCAGGATACAATTCCACATTCTTTCAGCTTTCATCGTCATTAGCAAGGACGCCCGAAATAATTACGACTCTCCTGTCCTCTGTGAAATGACAACAGTGAGAAATTCCTTTTTAGCTGTTAGATGGTTCTCATGTTGCCGTTAGAGAGCTTCTGTAGAACATTCGCGGAAAGGAAATCGTGTGGTACGAATATTTGGTAAAGCGACGCTGACTTGCGCATGCGTACTTGTGCGCAGTTGAAGTCTGACGAGTAACGGGTTCAGTTGTCGGACGTCGCTTGCCTGCGGAAGGTTGTTGCATGTTGTTTCCGTTTGAGGCATTTGTGTTATTGAGAAGGGAAACAGAGCTAATCGTAAAATTAATTTGAATCAAGCCATGATTTAATAATGACAGTATCAGTTTTTCTTTGTGAGCTGCAAGGTCGTGTGACAGTTTGTTTTGAAGGCGGTTTTAACATTGCGATGTAGTGAGTCAACAGGACAGCCCTAACTTTCGTTTGTTTTTTGTTACCAATGAATGAAATGGCTCCCTGAAGTTTGAATATCTGTAACTGAAGTTCGTTCAAGACATCTAGAAGTTCAGGAGAGGATGAATTTTGTTACGGCAAGCCTGTTTGAAGGTAAGGGGCTGATTGTTGTGTTTTATTTTGAAACTTCTGTCACTCGCTGTTTCGTTTTTACCGTTCTGTGTGGTGGCATACGTGAATATTTCTCCATTTGTCTAGGAGCGTTTGACAATGCAATGTGTTGATAATACAGGCAGTTACACAATATTTCTTACGTTCGTCTGTGCTTCATATTAAGTTTAATCTATTTGACCGAGTACATGTATTGAGTGGGGGATGTATATATTCAGACTTAGTGAATAAGAAAATAAGTTTAATTATTATGAAAGATAAAATAATTGAATTATAATACATAATAAGAATTAATAACTACGAGAATATTTAAAATTGTGGGAATCTTAAATCGAAACGTATCTTCGATAATTGTTTACGTAACGCTGTTGTCTTTTGTCGAGGGCTGTGTTGCTGTCTCGTGTGTAGTTTTAAAAGCGTTTTTAAATGTTTTCGTAGTTTCTATTCCATGTTTCTCTGTACTAGAAAAGGCCTACATAATAACAGGAGAAAAGCATTTCATGAAAACGTGTGTAAACATTGTTTTTTTTCGAGACGCTAATTCGAATTCGGTTTATGCGAACTTTGTTGTAACCGAGCGTTCAGTCATTCCGTATCAGTTTACTGTTTGTGGACTGATATGACGTAGCGTTGTGGCTCCTTTACGTTACGAAAGTTTTCTTTTCGAATCTCGGGTGGGCCACTCAGTATACATTGAAATAAGCGACGATTAACTGATATTTTCACGATTGTTTTCCAAATTTCTTACAACGTTGTAAAAAGCGGATCTAAGACACAGTGCTTAAGTAACATAGAAACAAATGAGTTGACTTTATTTAATCTAGACATTTCAATCAAATTTTGTAGAATTTAGTAGAAAACTTTGTAGGACTGATATTGCGTTGTTAAATTTATTTTTAGAAGGAAACTGTTAAGGGAAAGTAGTTTCTAGTCCGAGATCAGCCAAGTATAAAGCCAGACTTAGGACGAAGAGTTTGATAATGTATTGCGTTATCTGAACTACCGCTCAAGTGGATAAATGATGGATGGGAATATGGAAATGATAGAATGTTAATTTTCTGAGGAAAATTTCAGAACTGGGAGAGATACATTCGCACTTCGCCCACCACCAACCTCCGTGTTTAGACACCAACATTCAGCTGCATGAACTTCGAGAGGGCCACGCCTTTGTTAGGGTAAAAGTAAAGTAAAGTTTGTCCCACTATGCGCCATGTAGGCGCTTGGGGGGAGAGAAGGTATAGCTCCTCTCTTTCTTGACCTCGGCACTAGATGGGGGTGAGTGGTCAGCATCACGCCCCGGCCGGCTTTACCCCCGGGAAAGAACCCCGGTACCCATTGTAGAGGAGGCTGGGTGGGCCCCAGAGCCGGTCTGGACCCCCGGAGCCGGTTTGGACGCAGAGACTAGAGGAAAAAAAAAAAAATTCTCGGCCCCCGTCGGGGATCGAACCCCGGTCGTCCAGCCCGTAGCTAGTCACTATACTGACTGAGCTATCCCGGCTCCTTTGTTAGGGTAGTGCAGGTTTATACGGATGTAGTTTTAATGTCGTGTTTTATGAACCGTTCAACGGGGCAACCAACAGTCGCGACGTATTCTGTTGAACCCTACTCATTTCTGCAAGTAATTTCAGAAAACAGTGACAGTGCTCAGTTAGGACAGCTGTTTCGAGAGATTCAAGCGCGCCTTTACGTATTCATCTTTCCCAAGTTTGCGATTATGTACTTCGGCACGCGAGAAATGTAAATCATTGCTATTAAATTCCTTCTTTGGAGTTCATGAATTTCTGAATTCTGTTTATTCGCAAAGGATGTGGCGATTTCATATCAACTATGCATTTATATAACATGAAATGGAACGAGAGGTTAATTTCATCGAAATTGGAAGGGAAGCAGTCGTGGCCGATTTGAAGTGATGCCCTTGTATTCGACTGAACGTAAGGAAAATTCAGTCATGATATACGTTGTTTTTTCATAGATTGCAGTGGGTTATAAAACATTCAGTGTATAGTTATCTTGGATTGGTTGCTGATTTCGTATTTTTATTCTATTTATTCCGACAAATATCAGAACAGAAGTTGAAATATACCACGATGGTCTTTTAAGAAATCTTTTATCTTATCAGCTATGGAAGATTTTCAAAGTAATTCGAATCCTGTTGTTAAGGAGCGCCGTTAAATAACCTGGGGATCAATCTAAGAGTTCGCCTACCAAATACGTCATCGCAGTAGATAGGCTGTGCCAACGAGACGTAGTGCTTTAGTTCGCTAGAATTGCTGAAAATGTCCTGCTGATAGACTGGCGGGGATTAGCACGTCTCTTGTGACAGACGTGGCGTGTCACGTCAGGAATCATTCTACAGGAATAAGCCAGAACGTACTTACGCCTTCAAGTATAGGCAACCTTGCGAAGATTGAAGAGGTCTGACTGCATTTTTATTCATCTGTTTTTTTTTCCGTGCGTTACATAAAATGAACGCATGAACCCGAAAGTGAACTTGTTCTTTATGTTTCGTCTCGAAAACATTACATTTTTGTATCAGAATTTGTCGGACAGATATTTTGACATATGCCGGTCTAGTATACATACCCCAAGTGTTCATGAAGTTCGAATGACTTTAAAAAATATCTCAAAATTGACTAAACGTACAATATTTTGGTGATAACGAAACGCTTTGCTGACTGATATCTAGAATGTTCGCGTGCAATATTTCTCGATATAGTGAATACTTAACGAAACAGAAAAATCATTTTTTATTTGGTGCAGTCTGTCTGCAGTGGGGTCTCGGGTTCGATTCCCGGTAGTACCCGAATTTATAACTTGTGTTGGGCAAGGCCGTGGTCTAGGCAACACGGAGTTTTCCTCCGTGGCATCCCAACAATTACTCCATTCACACACAGAAGAAGGCAATGCCAAACCACTTCTGGATCATCTGCCAAGAACATATATGAACAGGTCCCAGTCCGAGAAAAAGGATGGAAGGATCCTGTTCAGATGGACCTGTCGTCAGACAGAACACGAAATAAATAAATGATGGCCACGTTGGTCTAGCGGCTAGAACGCTGGCCTTGCAATCCTGGGGTCTCGGGTTCGATTCCCGGCGGTGCCGAATTTATAACTTGTGTTGGGCAAGGCCGTGGTCTAGGCAACACGGAGTTTTCCTCCGGGGGCTTCCCCGGTTTCTCCGTGGCAT